AAGTAAATCAGAGGTTAATGGAAGCAAGCACCCAGTTCCAGAAGAAACAAACCAAAGGCACAATTGATGTGTGGTGGCTCTTTGACGACGGAGGTAAAAGCCAGTTATGTCATTTATAGTCACAGTTAGGTTTATTGTATGTTGCATTTTATGACTTTTTTGCTTTCCTGGTTTGCATAAAAGCTTGGAAGATGGATGGGTTGCTGGATTACACACCTTCATCCTGGAATTTCAACATCACACAAGATTTATGTTATTTTTTTGCTAAGCATGCACCTTTCTTCATTTCTTTTTCTATTGGCCAGATCCAGGTGGTGTGATCTGTTCTCTTAGCTAAACACTGATCTTACGCCATACTCTGCATATGCAATCTGTTATCTGGTTAATAGTAATCTTGATATTAACTCATACACACTTCTGGAAATCAGCAACATCCAGCCAACTTCGTTATACAAAAAAGGCATATTGAAGTTAAAGATATACACTGATCAGCCATAACATTAAAGCCACTGAAGTGAATAACATTGATCACCTTGTTAAAATGGCACCTCTAAATGGTGCCATTACATGTTAGGAAAGTGAACAGTCAGTTCTTGAAGTTGATGTGTTGGAAGCAGGAAAAATAGCTAAGAGGAAGGTTCTGAGTGACTTTGACAAGGGCCAAATTGTGATGGCTAGACGACTGGGTCAGGGCATTTCCATAACGACAGGTCTTGTGGGGGTGTTCCCAGTATGCAGTGGTCAGCATTTAAGTACCTACCAAAAGCGGTCCAAGGAAGGGTGACTGCGGCGATGGGGTCATGGGTGCCCAAGGCTCATTGATGCGCATGGGGATCGAGGTTAGCCCGTCTGGTCTAGCTATTGTAGCACAAACAGCTGAAAAAGTTAATGCTGGCTATGATAGAAAAGTATAAGAACATACAGTCCATCGCATTTTGCTGTGTATGGGGGTGCATAGCATGCTGACCCCTGTCCATCATCAAAAATGCCAACAATGGGCATGGGAGCGTCAGAACTCAACCATGAAGCAATGGAAGAAGGTGGCCTGGTCTGATGAGTCACGTTTTCTGTTATATCATGTGGAGGGCTCGATGCATATGTGTCATTTACCTGACGAAGAGGTGGCACCAGGATGCACTATGGGAAGAAGGCAAGCCAGCAGAGGCAGTGTGATGCTCTGGGCAATGTTCTGCTGGGAAACCTTGGGTCCTGGCATTCATGTGGATGTTACTTTGACACACATCACCTAACACTGTTGCAGACCAAGTACATCCCTTCATGGCAATGGAAATCCTTGATGGCTGTGGCCTCTCTCAGCAGGATAATGCAACCTTCCACAATGCAAAGATTGTTCTGGAATGGTTTGAGGAACATGAAAAATAGTTCAAAGTGTTGACTTGGCCTCCAAATTCCCCAGATCTCAATCCAATCTAGCATCTGTGGGATGTGCTGGACAAACAAGTCTGATCCATGGAGCCCCCCACCTCGCAATTTATAAGACTTAAAGGATTTGCTGCTGTCTTGGTGTCAGATACCACAGGACACCTTCAGAGGTCTTGTGGAGTCCAGGCCTCGATGGGTCAGAGCTTGTTTTGGCAGCATGAGGAAGACCTACACAATATCAAGCAGGCAGCTTTAATGTTATGGTTGATCGGTGTATGTTTAAGACAGAAACAATTGTTGTTGACACAGATTATGCCATATTCAAATTTATTCTTATGCTTTTTGGAAACAAATGAAGTCTTTAGTGTCTAGGTTCAGTCCGTACATCAGGATACCATTAAAGAATATCATACAACTTGAGTCCCTGGTGCGTGAATATAGGTGAGAGGTGGGTGATGAATTGTTATCACCAAGTCCAAAGTCAATACTATGAGCACTGCAGAGTACTTCTGCTCAGCCAGTCAATTCCATGTCTTGGAGGATGTGTGACCACAGAAGCTGGAGTCCTTGGTGGCCTCCTATTTTGTGTATTGATTTGACTGGCCCTGGCAATAATAATATGAAATAGTGATGAACACTCTCTCTACCCAAGGCCTGACTCTGCTCATACCCTACATCCTAACCACACGCAAGAAGTGGAAGGACTGCAAGTTGAGGATCTTCATTGCGGGGCAGACTGACCGCATAGAGCAAGACTGGGCAGAGTATGTGGGGGGAAAACCCAATGAATGCATAAAAACAAAGGGCATCATGTTTGTAAGAAAATGTGTAGTTAGCAGGATTTCTGTTTGTTGCATAGGATGGAGGGCCTTCTTAAACAATTCAGGATCAAATACATAAACATCAGCGTCATCACTGACATCGCCTCCAAGCCAAGCTCTGAGAGGTAAAAAAACTTTTGGCTCACATAATCAGGTTTAATATAATAAGCTTTTCTCACTCCGATCCAATTTGATGCAACTATATGCATCTACTTTTCTCAGCTGGAAAAACTTTGAGGACATGATTGAGCCTTTCCGCCTTCGCGATGGCACCAAGGAGACAGCCATTTCTGACGCACAGAAGAAGGAGAACTCGTGGAAGATCACAGATGCCGAGCTGGAAATGCATGAGGAGAAGGTAACTCAAGTTCTCAGTAGCTGAAGAAAGATTAGAAAATCTTTATTGCCACACAGATTTAGATTCAGGCCAGCAAAGAGCAAAGACAAAGGAAACAGCAAATACCTAAAATAGACACTTCACTGCATTCTTTAATCAAGACATAAACAGTGGGTACTTTTCCCTACACAGACATACCTGCAAGTTCGCCTGAATGAACTGCTGCAAGAGAATTCAAGGGCAGCCAACCTTATCATTGTGTAAGTACACAGGACTCATACAGCCTCTGGATTTTAATTATTCCAAGAATTATGTACATTTAATTAGCATGTACCTACAGAAAATCAATAATAATCATATTCGTTCATCTCTATATAGGCCATAGTGCATGTTTGTATGCCCGGTGATGGACTGGCATTTTTACAGTAATGCTATCATGGAAAGTACAGTTGACCCTTCCACATACAGTAGAAGGGCTTAGGGACGCTGGCCCTCTGCGTTCTGGAAAAACTGCATAAAATAAAGTAAAGCGGAAAAATGTGAGAAAATGCGAGATACAAAGACCACTGTGAGATCACTGTGAGATATTCCGTGAGAGGCTGCCGTAAACACGCTTGACGTCCTCCAAACCAGCACTGTACATATATTTTATGCATTTATGGCTTATAAAACCGCGATGGGGAAGGTCATGATGCAGAAGGGTCAACTGTATTTCCAAAATCAGTTTGGCCCTAATGGCAAGCTTGAAGCATGCAGGATCATGTTATATGACATGAAGGCCTGCAAATTGCTACAATGTTTATATCATGCAATTAAAATGTATCAATCCCCCGGTTAATGCTCCGTTGCGCCTAAGGCTGACCTGGATTGAATTGCGGTCTTTTTGTGCATTTTTAGACCTGTACATTTTAGGCTTAAATTACATTGAGTATGTTCAGTAGTCTGTAGTGTGCAGCTACCATATCAACCCTTACATGCACCGTACCTTTCTTGCAGGAGCACGCCTATAGCTCGGAAAGGCGCCATCTCTGACCACCTCTATATGGCTTGGCTGGATGTCCTAACCAAAAATCTCCCACCAGTCTTGCTTATCAGAGGAAACCATAAGAGTGTGCTAACCTTCTACTCTTAAGTGGCCCCCTCATGGCCAAACACCACAACAGCTTCAGTAATGTAACATCCAATGTGGAAAATGGTTACATGTGTAGCTCTTCTGCTGCCCTCTAGTGGAAATACCCATTTAATATCATATTCAACTGCATTTAGTCCATGTACTGTCTTTGCAGGATGAAGATGTTGAAAATATTGTATAAATGTTATGAATTTACATTAAATTAAAGGATTTAACACAGGATAAAGGTTAGTTTGACGTATCACAAGCCTCACATCTTGTACATTATTTAAACAACATATAAGCTTTTTCATATTTGCTACATTGCTGAAATAAACATATTTTACAGTACAGTGCCCCATTTAAATTGAACTTGACGTAAATACATATTAATGAGTCAATGAGTCAAATGAGTCAATCATGCATTCTTAATGCTATTGAGAGATAAATCTCTTGGTCTCCGTGGTTACCCAGTTAGGGCAATGTATGGATGGAGGCAGAGGCGGTACACAGCCAAAAATTTTTATAGTGGTTGCAAAGTAGAGTTAAGGGAGATTTTGTATGCAGTTTGAAAGCTCTGGTTCATCTGTTGATGGCAATGACACTATCTGTAAGGTGCGAGACATGCGAAACAGTAGCCCATGATGCTGAATAGCCCTACCCAGTCATTTCGGTTTGAGCAGAATCTGTTATTTAAGAAATATGATATTATACACTTACATACATGTTTCATCTAAAACCTACTGGGGTTGTAAACTTTGCACACATATTTTTAAATCATCTTAATTTATTGCTGTATTGTTCTTTCTATGGACTTCAGTTTAAGTTGCGCTTAAATCATTTTTAGGCACTTAGTTTGCAAATAAAAGCACTTTTCATGCTGCAATTAAATTTCATGTACTTTGTTGCTGTGTGTGGTAAAATGTATTGTTTTTTAAAATGCAAGTGAAATATTTAATAAGTGTTTGATTTTGGCATACAATGTGTTCATTTTCAAGTTCTACAGAAACACTGTATTGGTGTCTTTTAATTATCTAATGAAAAAAAGCATAAAGTTGATATAAAATGCGGAATAAGCAGTCAACTCAAATGGATTGATGGATGGATGACAGACATAACCTGTAGCTAGAAACAGGCTTATACTAATACTTAATACAATGTTACTTTTGATTCCACTGCATTTGCGACGAAAAAAATTATTAAAATCAGCAATGCAATGATTAAACGTACTAAGGCTACGTTTTATGTACCTAGAACACCCATAAGTTACGCTTGAGTGCAATATTTTCCTCTGCTACATCTGGCATGATTCTGCTTGGTCTGCTAAGTCATTGCGCAGCAGGCTTACTGCGGTGACGCTTTCAACGACAAAACTTGTTTCAAAATTTCCCATCATTCATCATTCCGTGGGCTGCAGAAATTAGCTTAGTTTCAAGAAATGGCTTGTCTCTTTTACAAAACCAGACATATCTTCAGTTGTGTTTCGGTACACTGTCGTCTGTACGTACGGTTATTACAAAGAAGACCTTGTCCTCACTTTCAGAAATGCGCCATCGCTACAAGAAAAACCGGAGATATATTTAACCCAGGTATTTTAGCATACTTAAGTACTCCTGACTAAGCGTGATCTTAGCATACTACGGCAGTCACTGTGTACGTGTAGCTTCGTTTTCTGGCTCACTAGTGTATTTATAGTAGCTTAGCATAAATGAGCTAACCAAACATTCGTTATGTTTTGTGACAAACAGCGCATGCATATTGCGGCGGGCTGCGCACCATGAGCTGACAGTAATCCGATTATCCAACGGTAACAATGTTACGAGGACCACTGTACAAGTATTTTATATTTTGTTTGCACAAAGCGAAAACATCCAAGTAAAATCTATTTCAAGTATTACATTATTGAGATTACTTCCTTCCCAGTTAACCGGTTGTGGGTAAAATAATAATATATATATATATATATATATATATATATATATATATATATATATATATATATATATATATATATATATGAATAATTGATGCTCTTTTAAATGGTATGTAATTAGTGTTATAAAAGCCCCGCGACCCTATACTAGATAAACAGCTGCAAAATATACTGATCGGCATGGAACAAAAGCGTAGTGTCACAGTTGATGTCATAACATCCTACCTATCGAGACGTGCTATCCAGCCTTTCTGCGCCTGTGTAGTTCCACCGTTTTGTGATTAGGATTATGTTTTAGGGGTTTGGGTTAGGGTTAAGGTAAGGGTTTCGGGTTTTTTTTGGGGGGTTAGGGCCAGGGCTATCGATATCGATTAGGCATCCCTGCCGTAGAATGCATACCGGTGTTCTGACGAGTTGAGCTTTTAGGGGTGTTTTGGGGGTTAATGTTAGGGTTTTAGCTAGGGGTTAGGGCTATCATCTAGCACTACGGTAGCCTAACTCGACAAAGTTAAGGTAAGGGTTTTGGGGGTTAGGGCCAGGGCTATCGATAAGGCATCCCTGCCGTAGAATGCATGCCGGTGTTCTGACGAGTTGAGCTTTTAGGGGTGTTTTGGGGGTTAGGGTTTTAGGGGTGTTTTGGGGGGTTAGGGTTTTAGGGGTTAGGGTAAGGGTTAGGGCTATCATCTAGCACTACGGTAGCCTAACTCGACAAAGTAGCTCAACTCGTTTCAGATCAGCGACCAATCGGTCATTTAGAGACAGGCATGTATTCTACGGCAGGGTACAACACCTGTGCTGTGTGGCAGTAAGCCCTGGTCTGCAGCTTGATTACCTCAACAGCCACTGGAAGTACGAGCGGCGCCCCTGAGCATGTCAAGCCGGTACTGAAGGTCGCCAGACTTTCGGAAAATGCTACCATCCCAACAAAGGCATCAGCGAAAGCCGCCGGTTATGATCTGTACAGGTTGGTTACATTTGTGATACATAAGCGGTGTTACACTGACGTATATCCACGTACAATCAATGATGTCATTTTTAGCAATTGCGTGCGGCGGAAATGGAGCTACAAACATCAAATTAAACGGAAAAAAACTTTCTGATTTATTGTCGCATGTTTTAATATTAAGTTTTTAAATCGCAGACGTGTTTTGAATTATTTTTTATAAGCCCAGGTAGGTGCTGTGGGTTTAAATTTAAGCAAGGTGCAATTAAAGTGAGGCATCAGAAATTAAAGTTAAGTTTTCCTCACATTCAGCCCGAAACAAAAACATGTCAGTATTTATAAAATGAAGTAACATTAAAATTACAATAACTACCTATTTATTTTTTGACAGTGCTTATGACTACTCTATAGCCCCAATGGAAAAAGCTGTAATAAATACTGATATCCAGATCGCCGTCCCCCCTGGATGCTATGGTAGAGTGGGTATGTTCTTTATTGCCTGCTTCTTTCCTTGATCCAGACGTGTAAAAACAAACGAATAAAATTAACTCATTTTTTGTTTTTAAGCACCACGATCCGGATTAGCTGTAAAACACTTCATAGACGTCGGAGGTAATAATATTTTTAAACATTCAGTGTTCCGATATTAATTCGGATTTCGGACTGGGCTGTGTCACTGGCACATGTAAGCCACCCTAAGGCATGCAGTCTGTGGCTTTCTAAGCAGATTTCTAATACGTTTTTTTCCCTAAGGTGGAGTTGTAGATGAGGATTACAGAGGGAATGTCGGTGTTGTCCTTTTCAATTTCAGCAAAGAAACATTTCAAGGTAAGACTTGTTTCAAAATGTTTAATTATTACCCACATACTAAAGTGGAATAGGTGACCTTTTTCAGCTCTCTGGAATAGACAACTAAACCTATAATGTGGTATTTTTTAGAGCAGCTCACAATTAAATTCGTAGGTCACCAGCTGGCTTAAAAATATTCTGGTAAAGTAAGATCGTATTCATTATACAGAAGCCATTGTTGCGTGTTTTTTAAATACAGCAGTCCCAGATTAAGCTTTTATTTCATCACCTGCTCTTCTGTACGGTTAATAGAATATGCATTTTTTTGGATTTGTTTTTGGGTATGGTGGTATGTACATGCAATTGCAAGGTGTATTAGGAAAGGAAAAAAACCACAACAATGCTGTTGTTCTAACCGTAGTCCGCAAAGGGGAGCGCATCGCCCAGCTGATCTGTGAGAGAATCTGCCATCCCGACCTGGAGCAGTGTGAGGTAATCTGTCTGTGCAGCTTACAATATGAAAATAACCCAATTCCTTCATGCACGTCCCCCCCCCCCAACTTAAATTATTATTTTACCCAGGCACTTGATGAAACAGAACGCGGGGCTGATGGTTTTGGATCGACTGGTCGAAGCTGACTGACTCTATTTTAAATGTTATTATTTGGATACTTGAACTTTATTCGGATTTTTATTTTCTTACATAAAGTGTAATAGCTTTGGAACATCTTGTCTCCTCGTTTATTTCCTTAGATAACCTACATATGTTAATGTCATGAGGAGATGCAGCAAAACTATGGTCATAAAGTTTCCTTTCCCAGCCTTAAATCAGCCAAGTTAATTGACCTTGCATTTGCCACTGTACTGTGCTACATGTACATTGAAGAAAACCATTTGCTTTTGATTTTTAGATTCCAGCAAACTTAGAATATCATAGCAGTATATTGCCAGTTTGTCTTCCTAAAGACACCTTTACATTCCACAATGCTCTTTTAGTTGCTGAGTATTAAGTAACATGAGTCCGGTGTATATTTGTAGGTTGTGAATTAATACCATTAGTTTTGGCAACCACCAGTTCCCATCTAAACATGGAACTTGTGCCCATAACTGACTGTAATGACATGAACTGAGACAATGAATTTTCCAGACTCATGTACAACATGCTTTTGGTGAACGAAAATTGCATAACTTTAGTGTCCAATAGGCCAAAACACTTTCATAGCTGATATTCAGAATATGGAATGGACTCATTATTGAGCTAGTTATCCAGTCATACTTACTGAAAAATACACTTCTGGAATTATCCATCCATCCGTTTTCTGTAACCACTGGACTCTATCCTAGAGGATGGGGTGTCACCCCATCATAGGGCACACTCTCACACCATTCACACCATTGGGGTATTTGGGAATGCCAATTCACTCTAGCATGTTTTTGGACCGTGGGGGGAAACCAGAGCACCTGGAGGTGTGCAAAAACGACAACATGCAAACTCCACACACGGAACCCTGGCAGAGACTCAAACCCTGGTTCCAGAGGTGTGAGGCAGCAGTACTAACCATTGTACCACCCCCTCGAATGATAATTTGGGGATTAATCACATACAAAATATATTCTAAAACTTGTGCATCAAGAAACATATTGACCATAGACCTAGAATTTAAATGAGATCCCAGCAGGCCACACCTCAGCCTGCGACTGCACTAATTACCTTGAAAGTAAGTCTTCTCACCTGGTGCCTCAGGAATGCATCAGGCATTTAGAAATCCATAGGTTTTCTGTTCTTGTTAGCCGGTAATACTGATCCTCTGACATAAAACCAGCCAAGCAGTCCTTTCTGTGATTTGTTGGCTAAAGATTAAATCATTTCAAAGCAGAGTTTTTCCTACAGATTTCAAAAATGCATGAGGGCCCCTTGCCCATTAAACACTGATTGCTCGTATTTGGCTGGGAGACAAAGATGCATTTAATCACAGCTTTCAGTACCTGTTTACTCCCCTCACCCATCAAGAGCAAAAACCACATACCAGAATGTTCTCACATCTTCTGAACTGAACACAGGCTGAGTGTAGAGATGGGACAAACATGTAGGTAGTCAAATGAACTAAGGTGGTCTGTCTCATTGGCTGTGATACCGCCTAACCACACATGTGCACATAATCAACACTCGTTACATTGGCAGTAAACCCAGTAACTACCCTATGATTTCTGTTTTTCTATGAGCAGAAGTGTATTTTTCTTTTGAATGTAATGATGAATGTCACAGGCTGAATATCATTTACCACTCTGTGAACCTAATAATTGGAAAAAACAGGATGTGTCACTGGAATCAGGATCTTTTAGACCAGTTTTAGACCCTTAAATGTCAAGTCATGTTGACAATGGCACACTTCACATTTAAGTATAACCAAGCCCTATTAAACCAAAAAATTGTTTTTATTGTGAATTTACTGAAACTAATCCCTCACCGATGTGAACAAACACTGGTAGTGAAAGGTGGTTGCATCATCTTTGATGACAGCACTGATTGTACTTGCGAGAATGGGTGTGGCCAACAAGGCCTCAGTGCATAATGTTCAGTCACAGATATTACCTCATCAGAATGGTGTATACAATTAAGTAGTTGGTCATTATAAGCACCATTACAAAACCCTTCCTTCCAGGGCTTTATGTAGTTAACAATTGCTTTGATGATTAAAAAAGTGGTATGGTTACAGTATAAACACACTTCATTTACATGTAATATAGATATAACTGAAAACAAAGAGGCTACTGAGCTAAACTTTGGTTGGTTGCAGATTTAATTTTCAGACAGTAAAGTTGCTTTTTGGCTATCTGCTCTGTAAAACTTCAGAAGGCCCAAGTATTTTCCTTAGTGATCCAGAGAAACATTCACAGGAACCTGCTTAAAAGAATTTCATCCTTGAATGGTAAACAGTGACTTAAGTCTTGTCACTGAAATAATAAAATGCCACAATTTACTGGCACGGTGCAAAATTCAAACCCAAAACATAATGAAATAAAGAGTCTCTTGGCACCAACATGGTGGCTGTTAAGGTACAGCTGCAAACCTCCCCTTTTTTCCGCTTTTGGGTCTCCTTCCCTCAGACTTGGGCAATCTGACATTTTACGGTTCATTTTTTAATCCTAGGATGTCACGTTGCCAGCAGAAGTTAATACGTAATACAATGCCAATCTAGTCAGCTGAAAAGATGGAAAAGCAGAAGTATGAAAAAGTCCTTCAAGGCCGATCCAAATCCTCAACATCAGCTAAGCGGTTTTCTTTATATATAAAAAAGTCTTAGCATCAGTGCCTTTCTGCAATTTGTGTCCCTCGGATTGTCGCAAGATTCAACATATCATTATGCAAACCCTTATTCAACGAGGAGCTTTCTGCACAAAGCCTGAGAAGACGACAAACTATGGGGCTGATTTTTCCCCTCACGCTTTATTTTCCCTACTCTGTGGCTGCTCCGGAAGAGGCTGCTTTTGTGCACTCGCTGCAGGCAATAAGAGATTGAATCCATGATATGTGGAATCGTCTTTGGGAATCAACTGTGCTGTTCTGTCTCTTTGGTTACACGTAATTTCACCGTTTCCTTGTGCTGTTAGTGGAGAATGATCTGCACTTTCATTTTCAGCGTGTCCCCCAGCTGACCGGTGAGGTAGTCTTTGTCATTCTTGTCTTCCAGCTGCGCCAGTTCCCTCTTTTTGTACAGCGAAATACTGCTGATTTGTAAATAATGTGCTCCAGGTTGAAGCTTCATCTTGGTTAAATGAAGGTAGCTTATTCCTTCCTTCTGGTTGATCTTGAAGAGGCCCTCCTCGTTCCCGAAGTCAATCAAGTAACGGATGTGGTTGCTGAGGGTGGACAGAGCGGGTGTGAACTCCAGGATGCGTTTTTTGCTGCTTATATTGCTGATGCTGAGGTTCAGAAGGAAAGTGTTTTCCACATCCACACTTGCGAGGCTCACAATCTCTTGCTCATCCTGAAAATATAACAGACCATTGTGCGATCAGCTGAAGACTCAATAAACAAAAACACAAGCATTTAAAAAAAAAAATTCCCCTCAGGGATTAATAGTTAATCTCCCATGATGGTGGGATGTGATTCCAGTGTGGTTCCTGGTAGCAATGGTTGGTACTCTGGACTCTGAATCCAGTGATCCGAGCTCAAGTTTCAGCAGAAGCTGAGTTTTGGGGCAGTGGTAACCTAATGGTTCAGAACATGTGCTTTTGATCGAAAGGTTGTTGGTTAGAATCCCCAACCAGCAACGTACCGCCCGCATGCACTGCTCCCCAGGCACTAAATAGCTGCCCCTGTTATGTCACATATAAATTAAATGCAAAGGACACGTTTCGTTGTTGTGCACTGTGTGCTGTGGTGTGTCAGCAACGACGGTTTTTCACTTCAGTGATCTTTCCTGCATTAGATGACAGGTCAAATACTTAAAGTCTGTTGCTTTTCTGGGAATTGAGCTACATATCTGTGACTTGAAGGCTGGAAATCATACATCACAGCCGCTGCATGTGATTTTAGGGGTGCTAAACTGGCCTTGAAGCTTACCTGTGAGCCGCTTAGCGCAACATCGCCTGTTACATTGGCACTCCTGCGCTTTCTGCCTTTTTTGGGGTAACCGTTAACTTTGCATTCATAGCAGGCCTCAGGGGAGAGGGCGTTGTCATCACTTTCGGCACCCTGGTCTCCGCTCCCAAAGGTCAGACCGGTGACGCAGTGCCTGTAAGGAAGAGGGACAAAATTACACATGATTTGGAGAGACCTCCAGCAGGCATAGATGCTATGCTAAGGTTTCAATGTGCAGCAGCCGGAGGGCGCTAACCCTTGTCCTGCCCGGTAGTAGCCTAGCGGGCAGCCGCACAGGTAGCCCCCTTCAGTGTTGGAGCAGCCGTGGCTGCAGGGTTTCTGGGAGGACGAGCACTCGTTGATGTCCTCGCAGGCCCCGCTGAACGCCCGGTAGTTGAAGCCGGTGGGGCAGAGGCAGCGGAAACTGCCCAGCGTGTTGTGGCAGGAAGCGTCGCCACACACCTGGCTGTTCTGGCACTCGTTTTCGTCTGAGTGCAAAAGACGACGGACAGAAAACGGAGAGATGAAGAAGCAGTGTGGTGCAGTGAGCCAGTGACGAACACTGATTTTTTGAGGGCCAGGTGCTCCAAGGGAGGGGGTGCGGCTGACTAGTGACATCACCGGTGATGCCCTCAACGGCAGGAAACGAAAAGAACTGTAAATCGAGTCCTTTTATGAAGGTTTCCATGTGTTACATCACACTGTCATCTAAACTGGGACAGGCCCGCCTCCTTCTGACTGCCATACCTGTGTGCTAAGGTATATTTTCAGATTCGGGTAAAATGAGGTCTTTACCCTCAAAGTGATCTTTGAAGGGAGGTCCTTCTAGAAAGAGAATGGGCAAGCAGGCGGTCTTGGCGAACATCAGGATGCAACATCCGGTCGAAAGAGACAAGTGGTCTCACCTACGCACTGGTTCCACTGGTAGTGCTGGAGGTATCCCTGGGGACAACTGCAGCGATATGCGCCCACCAGGTTCTGACAGCCATGCTGGCATCGATGGTTCCCCTCGCACTCGTTCATGTCTGTAGGACGCGGCGAGGGACAGCAGAAAACAAGCAGCAAAGGTTTAATGGGACTTATCCAGGCTGAACTTATGTCCGAAGACAGACCACGAGTCACAGTGAGATACGGAAACTC